TTTTTTTCAGGGCTTTCACATCTCTAGTGCTATCAGATCACTTCTGACATTGCAACACTATGAATTAATGATCTCCAAAACATCCTGTTCTTAACAGCCTTGGTCAGGTCTTGCAGACGAACGGCTGTGACTTCCTTTACTGAGTCAATCTGTCTCATGTTGGATCTTCCACTTTTTCTTATGTCTTCCACTTTTCCTAGCGTTATTGTCTTTTCCAGTAAATTTATATCTGCTGAGGACTGGAGAATGATTCTGAAATTCTCTTTGAGTTTGTGTGTACATACAGGCACTCTAAGCACTTACTTGAAGAATAAGTGTCCAGAACTTTCTGGAACAATGACTAGTACTGTGGTGTTCCTCTCAGATGAAAAATAAATGCCCATGCCCCTTGGCCGACCAATCTAAAAGTTCTTGATTTGTGTGATAAGCAATATACATGACCTATTGAGTAATGTTTTCAGTGTTTTGACTTCAAGTACCTTTTTTAACCTGTGATTTATTCTTAGAAAAGTAGACTTTAGCTCAGTATGTCAGTCACAGATTCAGACTTTAGCTCATTATGTCAGAATCATGGATTCAGTAAGATTATGAATGTTTGTATTAATGGCAGATTTCATTTTCAGCCACTGTAATTATACCATTTTGTTGTAAATGTTGTCCATCTAATGAATTTAAACTGTAATGTTTCTAATGAATTTAAAATTTTTCCCAGCCCTGTTTTGTAGCTCAACTTCTAGCCCTTCCCATCTCCCTGCAAAAACAAACACAAGAGAAAATAGACCTGTTGAGTCCATCCCCAATTTATTGTTGTGTGGGGAGAATATCTTGCCTAGCTATAGTCCAAAGAGAGCAAGCAGATCATTTAGAGTTAATATTCTTCTGTAGGGGATTAGGTTTTGTGGTAGCACTAATTAGAAAATATGGTCATTAAAATCTAAGATCCTGAAGGCTGAAAAGTAAGTCTGGCTCCTAAATTTTTTATGCTGGCTCCTAAAGCCACAGAAAATTTGTCAAGGCTTCTTTTAATGGATATTTGTTTTTAGTTGTAAGCCCCTCTGGGAGCAGTGTTCCCTCTAAGCTGAGTTAGTGTGAGCTAGCTCACAGTTTTTGAGCCTCTGGCTCAAACATTTTTGTCTTGGCTCAGGAAGGATGGCTCCAGAGCAAACTAATTTATGCAGTAGCCAAATCGCTTGCTCACAACTTTAATGCCAGTAGCTCACAAAGTAGAATTTTTGCTCACAAAGCCCCACAGCTTAGAGGGAACATTGTCTGGGAGTTAGTTTTTTGTTGTTGAAAAGTGAGTCAAAATATAATACCTGAAGACTGACTATGATTACTCCTTTGTCAGAGGTTTTTCACATTTCTGGGATGGAGTTGTCATCATACAGAAAAATTCTCAAATTAAATTGTGATGTGTTGTAGCTTAAATCAAAACATTTATTTTGTCTTTGTGGCTGAAATAATTCTGCCAGTGTCAGAAATAAGCAGTTTAAGTGGGGGGGAGAACAGGACACAACCATAAGTGTCTGGAAGTCATGCATGTCCCTCCCTACATTCTGTATTCATAGTTGTGTAGAAAACTGTTTATTTATGGAGATTAAAAAGAGGCCAAGACATTCTGCACTTGCTTAAAGGTGGCTTTTATTTTACATGTGCTGCTCATGTCCTATGTGGAAAGGGGTGGGGATTTAAAATTGGAATTCATTAAGTCAGAACATCAGCTGCTACTGTTGTTGAAACTGGGTATTGGTATGCTGGAAAAATGTAGATTTTTTTTCATCAACAGTGAACATTAAGCATAAGACAAAATAATAATACAGTGGTTGTGTGTGTTGATGTGCTGTTCTCTGCAAACAATGTGTATATCAGATGACATTCCTTTCTGCAATTTATTCAGTAACTTTAAAAATTAGAAACATTTGAGCAGTTTTGTCATCCAGAGTCAGAGTGTAAAACCAATTTCAGAGGGATAGCCAGCCCCATAGCTAGACCTTTTTTAATGCAAAGATGGGGCATGGTGGCTAATTTGATTAAATTATATTCATTAATGGAGTCTTTCACAATTCCCTCATAAAGCATCATTAACACAATTGCAGCCTTTAAAAAGTGAGTGATCTGGCACTGAATTTTGGAAGCATTTTTCAATGCAGCAATGAAGGGGGGGGCTCTTGCCTTGAAAACGCCATGGGGTCACCATGAGTTTGATGCAACTCCACATTGCTCTTTCCCCGCTTGCTCCACCCTCCTGACCAGCAGCCAGGCCCTTTTCATATGGCGGGGCTGGGGTGGAGCTAGCTGTGTGCTTGCTTGGCTGGGTGGGCGTCAGGCAGCCAGCTGCTCACACCTTCTCTGCAAACAATGTGTATATCAGATGACATTCCTTTCTGCAATTTATTCAGTAACTTTAAAAATTAGAAACATTTGAGCAGTTTTGTCATCCAGAGTCAGAGTGTAAAACCAATTTCAGAGGGATAGCCAGCCCCATAGCTAGACCTTTTTTCATGCAAAGATGGGGCATGGTGGCTAATTTGATTAAATTATATTCATTAATGGAGTCTTTCACAATTCCCTCATAAAGCATCATTAACACAATTGCAGCCTTTAAAAAGTGAGTGATCTGGCACTGAATTTTGGAAGCGTTTTTCAATGCAGCAGTGAAGGGGGGGGCTCTTGCCTTGAAAACGCCATAGGGTCACCATGAGTTTGATGCTACTCCACATTGCTCTTTCCCCGCTTGCTCCACCCTCCTGACCAGCAGCCAGGCCCTTTTCATATGGCGGGGCTGGGGTGGAGCTAGCTGTGTGCTTGCTTGGCTGGGTGGGCGTCAGGCAGCCAGCTGCTCACACCGCTGCCCTCCCAACTAGCAGCCAGGGCCTTTCATGTGCTGAGGCTGGGGGCGGAGTCAGCTCTGCATTCGCTTGTTCAACCCTCCCTTCTCCTCTCCCCCCCCCACCATGTGCTTTCTCCACATGCCCAGGGAACCAGGCAAGAGAGGAAAATGCTGCAATGAAGGGCTTGGAGCAGCAGCATCTGCAGACTTTGTGTGGGGGGGGGAGGGTCTGGCATCCACCAGGAAGGGGGATGGGCACATCTGAAGGTGGATTAGCCCCCCTTGCCACTGGCTAGCTACAGCCCTGGGGATAGCTGTCGTGTAAATGAGAAAGTTATGACACCTTATGGACAAGGGGATGGATCATGAGATTCCTTTGCTCTGGAGTACAAGTCCTCAGTTAATTGGAGGGTGTTGTAGGATCCAACCTTAACAAATTTGTAGAGACAATAACTCTTGTGTGCCAAAGCCCACATTGTGTGATGCTCAACCTTGGTTCACAGTATTATTCCACAATAAATTAACTGGACTTTAAGGTGTCACAGTATTTGCTGTAATACAAAAACATCATGAGTTGATGGGCTTATGGTAATGGTCTATAGACCGCTATACAAGTGTGGTGGTAGTAACCTTTCCTGAAATATATGCATGCCTGGAACCTTGCTGGTATTGTGAGTTGTTGAAGCTGAGACTGAGGTCACCATCTCATTAGCTGCAACTAAGCAGCTTTAACAACGCTGTGGATTAACAAATTATACTGTGGGATTTCTGGTTCAATTCTGCTTTGCTTTATGTTGATTTTCCTCCTGATTTTTATGACTTTGGCCTGACACAGGGATGTGACACCTCATGCCATAGTATCCATTGTTTCTTTATACATTTTTTACATCTTTGTAAATAGTTTTTTCCAATCATTAAAGAAAAGAACATATTCAGAAATCATCGCTCATCCCTGGCAGTATAAATAAAGCTAAATCCATGTCAGTGAATTTGCAAATGTTCATCTGCTGATACCATTCCCTGTCTTTTCTACCTTGCCCCTCCCTGTTCCTGTTGTCTTCCTTTTGATGAAACTAGATTATAAGCTCCCTGGGACATAGGCCTGTCTCCTTTGCTTATTTTTTAAAACACCAAGTACACTAGTGGCAGTGTATTAACAACAGTACTGCCATTTGAGCTTTTTATACCAGTGCCAAATATTCTCCTCCCTCTCCACCTTACCTTGTATCCGTGAATATGTTAATCGGTCATAGCTATTGATAAGAGATCTAATATTCCAAATGTGTGATGGTCATATTGCCACTGATAACAATAATCGAAAGGACATTAATATAGGCTACTGAGTTCTAGTTGTAGAGAGTGGGTATTCTTTGCTTTCCTTGGAGACCAAGTTGGAAAATTAATACCTCTAGTTGAACCAGTTCCTGAATCTTGTTTTGCTAATTTGCAGTGTATGCTTTTACACATTGTATATTTAATCCTTAGGCCCTGCATATAAACAAATCTAGTTCTGGACTAACCCTGCCAGTTTAGCACGAGTTCTCAGTACTGTCATTGTACCTAGAATAGTTGAGTTGTGATGTATGTGACTCAGGGGATTCTATCCCTAGCTTAGTAATTATCCCCATAGAGGAAACCAGAGGAAGACTGAGAAGGTATCTTTGGGGTTCCATAAGGCTTGTGTGTAGTCCTGCATTTGTAAAAGCATATGTTTCAAATTAGAAAATCAAGGAAGAATGGCCATGGGCCACTGATAGAATGTCTGCTTTTCATGCAGAAGGCTGCTGGTTCAACCCCTGGTATCTAAAGTTAAAGGATCTCGGTAAACAAATGTTGAGAAGGAGCTTCTCTGCTTGATACCCTAGTATGCCATTTCCAAGTGGAGAAGACTGTACTGATCTAGATGGTCCAGTGGTCTTTCTGTGTATAGCTTCATATGCTGTGTATAGCTTCATATGCTGTGTATGATGACTTCTGGTTCTTAAAACATTGTGTCTTGGAGATACCAGAAGAGTGTTCAGAATATCCCTGTGTCAATGAAAGCATGCATATTTCTGTTTTTAAAAGGAAAAAGTAGAATGGTCTGTACTCTCTTGTTTAGGCTGAAATATTTTCTGACATTTCAGTCAGCCTTTTCCCCCTACCTGACTGCTGCTTTCTGTCATGTCAGAGGATGAAGTTTTTGCTGCTGCAGCAAAAGTATCTAGAATATCTGGAAGATGGTAAGGTTCTGGAGGCACTTCAGGTTCTGCGCTGTGAACTGACACCTCTGAAGTACAACACAGAGCGCATTCATATACTCAGTGGGTAAGTGCTTTGGTTAGGTATCAACACTACAGGGTGATTTCCCACAAGCGCTGCTCTGCGCTCACTCCTCCCTTTTGCCCCGATGGTACGTGTCAATTTCACACAAGCTGCTGCACGGCCGCATTTTGCCCCGCAGCTTTGTGTGATTTTCCCCACGTCTACTCAATCCTCAAAAAACAGGATTGAGTAGACACTGGGAAAATCGCATGAAGCTGCGGGGCAAAATGCGGCCGCGCAGCAGCTTGTGTGAAATTGACACGTACCATCGGGCCAAAGAGAAGAGTGAGCGCGGAGCAGCGCTTGTGGGAAATCACCCACAATTTCTAAGGATTTTGACAATTTCACATAGTCTGGTTTCATAAAAGTGAAAATGCATCTTGGAAATGTTTATCTTAGTTGAGCTGTGCTTTTCCTGTTAGGAGTTGATGTTCCAGAATATTAGAGGATCATCTTAACTTGAAGAACTTAAGCACGCTAACTTGTTGAAAAATTAGAATATTTGAATTTTATTTTTTAAAAACATTTTACCTGTTTTGCTACTTAAAATGTTCTTAGGGCAATAAATTAAACCGTATTAAAGAAAAATATGAACAATAAAAACAATGCACCGAAGCATAAGAACTTTAAAATTAAAAAAGAAAAAAACTTTTTAAAGCAATATTAAAATTATTCAGTCATCAAATGACTGGTGTTAGAAAGGGCTGTCAAGTTGCAGCCAACTTATGGCAACCCCATAGAGTTTTCAAGGCAAGAGACAAACATGTGGTTTGCCATTGCTTGCTTCCAGGGCCGGCCCCAGCTTATTTTGCACACTAGGCGAGGATCCCTTCTGGCGCCCCCCCACGTGCGCCCACCAATTTTCAAGGCTGGGGGGAGGCGCCCTGCACCAGTGCCAACCTCCAGTCGGGGCCTGGAGACCTCCCGGAATCACGACTGCTCTCCAGAAGAAAGGGGCCACTTGGGGAGGGTGGGACTGGGGGACATTCTGCCCCGCGGAACTCCCTCCCCACTGCCGCCTGCAGATCTCCGGGAAATCTCCGAACGGTTTAACCCATGCATTTGCAGCGGCCGGCATACTTGCTTCGTTTGTGCCACCGCCAGTCCCGTTATCCCAAGGCAGGAGGAAAGGGAAAGCCTGGCGGGATGTCCTGCTGCAGCTGAGAGAGGCGAGACTGAGATGCCGCCACTGCTGCTGCCGCGCCCTGGCTAGAGGTGAGCGCACGCCGCGGGGGAGCCCCTCTCCGTGCGCTCTAGCAATGTTCCCGGCCCGTGAGGCTGTGCAGACGGGTGGAGCCCCGCCGAGCCCGGAGGCCCCTCCACTGGCACCGCCAGCGGCCGTGGCCAAGCTGAGCGATGCCGAGCTGGGCAGTTGCAGCAAAGAGAAGCTGGTGTGCCGCCTGCGCCTCTTGGGAGACCGGTAGCGGCAGGAGGGGCGAGGAGGGCTGGCCTCCCCTTGCCCCCACCGGCCCTGGTGCTGAGCAGGAGGACTCTCCTGTGTGGCAAGGAAAGGGAGGGCATGCAGGCCCCTGGGCCGGCGCCCCCATGATAACTTTGTGCTCTAGGTGAAAGTCTAGTTCGCCTAGTGAGCGAGCTGGCCCTGCTTGCCTCTGCTTAGCAACCCTGGACTATCTTGGTGGTTTCCCATCAAATTACTAACCAGATCTGACCCTACTTAGCTTCTGAGATCTGAAGAGATCAGGCTAGCCTGGGCCACACTGGTCAGGGCATTAGGATTAGGAAAAGTAAAGCTTGGTTCTACTCAAATATCTTGGGAAAGGAAGTACCACAGGTAGGCTACCCTTACAAAAAGATCTTGGTTGCTATCAATCCTACCATAGAAGGCAGGAGCACCTGGAGCAGGACTTTGGAGGATTTTCTTAAAGAGGAGATGGGTGTATAATGGAGCAAGCTGTCATTCCAATATTAAATGATAAAATTGGAGTTTTAGACCATAACACTGTTTAAAACGTGAGATCCCATGTTAATAGATTCTGCACTGGTCCCTTCATTGTGTCAGTGAGGGAGACAATGGAATCTGGCTGTTCAAACTTTGGAAAGATCTGTAGTTCTAAAACATGTCAAGTATGTATTTCTTTTCACTATGCAGATATCTGATGTGTAGTCATGCAGAAGACCTGCGGGCAAAAGCAGAATGGGAAGGAAAGGGAACAACTTCCAGATCTAAGCTTTTGGACAAACTCCAGAGTAAGAAAACCTTTACTTTCCATTGCCTGTCTAAATCTCCAGTATATCCCACTGTGAAGAGACTAATTGAGGAGAATATATGTATTTTTAGTACCAGTAGCAGTATAATTCTGCATAATGGTTACTAGCAGTGCTTCATAAAGACAAGGCAGATCTGATTATCTGCTGTTAGTAATTTTTGCCTTCATGTAACTTAGATCCAACAGGAGGGGACCGCCCATCAGTGGTAGCTTGGCTTTGCATGTAGAAGATCCCAGGTTCTATCTCCATCTCTGTTTAATAGGATTAAGTAATTTATGATGTGAAAGACCTTGAGCCTGAGAACAATGATCAGTCAGTAGCCTGATTTAGACAATAGCCCCCACATGTTCACTTAATGTGTGGGAAGGGAGAGCAGGTGTGACTGTGCTGGCCCTGTCACTGATCATTTTTTAAAATATCTTTTTATTGCACAAATAATTACAAACAGTTAAAATTATGTACAACAAATTAAAAGAAACTATCAAGAAGTAATATCCAGTTTCATATGCTTATATTATTTCTATTATACTTTAAAAATTGAAACTAATCTATATACATCCGGCATTTAAAATTTTTCACCATGTTGCTCTAAATAGTTCAATATAGGGTACCAAATAGGCTCAGAATCTGATTTATGCTTCTCTACAGATTTAAAATTCAGCTGTTCAGTTATCTTTGCCATTATGTAATGTTCCCATAATTTCTTATGCCACAAAGAGAGCGGAGGAGCTATCGAACTTTTCTAGTAACGGGCTATGGTTGTTTTGGCTATTAGTAATATTGTGATTGTTACACTTCATTGATATGGGCAAATTTTGTCTCTTATAACTTAAAAATAAAGATTCAAGTGTCAGCTCGAGAGTATGACCTGTGTCACTGATCATTTTTTGGGGGGGCGGTATATGCATGGCCACTTGCTCCATACTGTCACACCCTGAAGACAACCAGCAGATCACATGGAGGTGGGGGCAAGGTCAGCATGTTTGGGCCATCTCTCCTTCCCCACGTGTTCAGTTGCTGTCTGTGCCACTAAGCCGTATAAGGTAGTTTGATGTGTTCATGTATCCTGTGAGTCTGTTCCTCCAGCAGAAGACTCCTTGTATCAGAGGAGCACACCAGCAGAATGCCAGTGGCACTGTCCTTGCTAGTGGCTTAGAACTGTTTGGGGGCATAATTGGTGGCAACTGGACATTTCCACAATAATGATTTGGCAGTAAACAATTGTGCTTTTCTTGGTAAAAATGAATGAGTTCAGTATCATGTAAGAAGATCTTAAGTACCCAAGTCTGTTAGTTAGCATAAGTTAGAATGTATATAGTCCAGTGAAGGAATCGGTGTGAAGTATTAAACTAAGTTGAATAATTGCACTGAAATTACTTCCTTAATTTATTGAAGCTTACCTACCACCATCAGTGATGCTCCCCCCAAGGCGTCTGCAGAACCTGCTGCGTCAAGCTGTGGAGCTACAACGGGACCGGTGCCTCTATCACAATACCAAACTAGATAACAATCTAGATTCTGTATCGCTGCTTATAGACCATGTTTGCAGTAGGTAAGAGATCCACTTTGTTTTTAAGGGACAGCAGCAGTGTCTTCTAGTGCAATAATGTTTCTTAAAAAGTATTTACTCCTTTGTGGAGGAGTTATGTATTATTTTAAGTTTAAATAACTAGCAGTTGAAATTGTAGCTGTTAAAAATTGTAGCATTAAATATTGTAATTCTGGCAGCTACTTCCTGTAATGAGAGATGCACTTTCAATGCTTGTTAAGCCAGAGTTCCACTTAGAAACTAGAACTTTGAAATATATATTAAAAGTCATAGGGAATACATAGTATCTCTGTACTGTTTACATGATAAGCTGTATCATGTTGAAATGTTCAGTTGTTTGAAGTCTCTCTCAGCACAGTGAGCTACATTTGAAAACTTTTCAACCAGAGGGCCTCAACTAAGTTATTCCTTAGAGTATTTCCCACTAACAGTAGCCCCCAACATATGCATTCAGGAATTGGTGGTGGCTGCTGTTCAGCTTGTCAACCAGCAGCATTGACATGGAGGCAGTTTGTTAGAACTGGGGCTGTTCATACAGCCTCTGTGAGTTGATTGTGGCAACCCGGAAAAGGCAACTGCAGCAATGTTCCCTCTAAGCTGTAGAGTCTTGTGAGCAAAAATTCTACTTTGTGAGCTACTAGCATTAAAGTTGTGAGCAAGCGATTTGGCTACTGCATAATTAATTTGCTCTGGAGCCATCCTTCCTGAGCCGAGACAAAAATGTGTGAGCCGGAGCCTAAAAAACTGAGCTAGCTCACACTAACTCAGCTTAGAGGGAACACTGAACTGCAGTTTCACAAATTGTGTTCACTTGAACATTCCTATGGGGGAATCACTGGTTATCACAGATGTAGTCCAGTAGCTTTCCTGCAGAGGCAATGTCCAGAGATGGCCCTACAAATGCCTTGAGCAAACTCTGGGGCTTGTAACTTCATGCTGCGGGTCCAAAAGTGATATCCTGTTTAGCTTACATTGATATAGGTATGGTTTAGATGCCACAGCAGTCATGGGATGCTGCTACATGAACAAGTTTTTGGGGATCTTCAGTCTTGTTTGCACAAACCCAATGCCCCCCCTTTTCTTTTTGTGTTCACTAAGCTAAGTTAGTACTGTCTGCGTACTAAACTATAGTTTTCTGTGGGATCCATATCAGCAAACTGTAGCTGGCAACCATAATAAGACTTCGGGAAGCCTGAAGTGCTAACCTTTTTTCCTGATTTAGATGTAACAGCTTCTGTTTTTGGGCAAACATAATTATATTACTGTGCTTGAGGGGAGTGGGAGGGAGCCAGATTTGCAAGAGCAAGCCTGAAGCACCTTCGAGACTTGTTCACATTGCAGCAACCATGATTTCTGTTGTGTCCACACTTAAATCGTACTGCAAAATTAACATCAAACAGGTGAGAAATTCAGAAATTTTCTGGGAAACTGAGCTATTTTTATGTAGTCATTTAAATTGTCTGACACCTCAGAACTTGAAATGTTTCTCATTCCTTTAATCCCTTTACTGTTGTAACACACATCCTTCACTTTCCACATCTATCTTCATTCATCAGTTGGTTACTTCATGCTCTGTAGCTTCTGAGGATCCTCATCCTTCATATCCCATAAATTACTGAGGAAATAAGTTTTTTATTCTTTTAGTAAGAGAATTTATAGTAGATCTTTTCCTTATTCACATTCTGTTCTGTCCACCAGTTGAGAATGAATCCTACTGGTCTTGTTCTACATTAATGCTAGGTGCTATTCATCCAGTCATACAACTTCCAAGATTGTCCCAAACTAGTTTGAACATTTTTCCAGATTCAGAATGTGCTTTTGGTAATTTTGATTTTTTGAGTGTAAATTAGTACTGGTTTTGAAACTTGTGACAATGATGGTAGCTTAGATTGCAGTTCTGTGCACAAGGTGAAACATTTCATTTACTTTAACAGGATTCTGGTTGGTTTTCAATAACAGAATGCAAGGTATTACTTAGAACTGTAACTTGCAGGTGCAATTTTTTAATTTACATTCCTGTTTATATGCAATTGATTCTTTTCTCAAGCACTAAAACACAAACATGAAATGTTGTAAGATTAATGCTTGTTTTTAGATACGTTTCTAGCTGCATTCTACAAAAATGCTTGGAGTAGTTTACTATAAAAATATTATAGAATCAGTCTCATAAAATTCATGCAATAGAGTATAAACAGCAGGGTAACAAATGCTATCAACAGTTCAAAACCAAGAAACTTTATAAACTGGTACAAAATTACAGCTTGTTAGTACCTGAGACTCTGGTCAAACCTGGAGGCTTGTTGATTTCCATATTTTCAGTGGCCAAGATGTAAAGACCTACTTTAAGTGGATAAAGCAGACAGTTATGATTTTGAATAGTAGAATTCCATGGTAGATCACAAACCACTTTTCAAAGTCATCTCAGTTTCAAAAACAGTTTCCCTTGCAGCATTGTAGAGTGCTATTGAAGAACAACATACCCAAAAGGCTTCTAGGGACATGGAACAATTTGCAGTAGTCTTTGGATCCTGACAAATATTTTGTGAGAGAACAAATATGACAGCTTGGAAAAAATGCAGATATACTATAGAGATGAGAATTTTGGTGTAGTATATTTGTACATTTTTACTCTCCCTTTATAGATAACATTCAGGATGACGTGCATGATGGTACTGTGGCCAATGTTCATGCTCAGTTTAGGTTTCTGTACTAGCTCAGATAGAAGAATTATATTGCAGAATTATTCTTCGTTTTTCTCTTTCTGTATTTTTCAGGAAACAGTTCCCATGTTACACACAGCAGATACTAACAGAACACTGTAATGAAGTGTGGTTCTGTAAATTCTCCAATGATGGCACTAAACTAGCAACAGGATCAAAGGATACAACTGTTATTATATGGCAGGTTGATCCAGTAAGTATGTAAATTCCTTAACATAAAGTTAAGCAAATTGGTCATTCAGCTTTGATGTTTATTGTGCTACATGCCATCCTAGATATCTGGTGGCATTTTTACTTCTGTCTACTGTGTGACTGTGCCATGCTTTCTAGTTCAGTTTTGTTTGAGAAACAGCTTGTAAGCCTCTGAATGATCAAATCAATAGAAATAAAGTCTATTTGAATGGGAGATACCTTGCTTAGACAGTCTTCTGTAATTTTAAAAAATCAGGATACATGTGACCCCTATATTTCTGAATGGATTTCTTCCCACTTCATAATGCTGTTTTCAAAGGAGTAACCATATTAGTATGTTGCAGCATAATAAAACAAATAATGTGGCAACTTGTGGCTAAGCAAGTTTATTTAGCATAAACTTAATCATAAAACCAGAGTTAGAAGGAGCCAGACAGGCCATCTAGTCCAACCGCCTGCTCAATGCAGGATCAGCTTAGAGCATCCCTGACAAGTGTTTGTCCAGATGCTGCTTAAAGACTGCCAGCGAGGTTAAGCTCACCACCTCCCTAGGCAGCTGATTCCACTGTTGAAGAACTCTTACTGGCTCCCGGAGGCATCTTCTTGAGTGTGGGGTGCCGCAGGGGGCAGTGCTGTCCCCAATACTATTTAACATCTATATGCGCCCCCTTGCCCAGATTGCTCGGAGTTATGGGCTGGGGTGCCACCAATACCGGGATGACACCCAGCTCTATCTAATGTTGGGCGGCCGATCAGATTCCGACCTGGATGACCTTCATCGGGCATTGCAAGCTGTGGCTGGTTGGCTCAGGCTGAGTCGGCTGAAGCTAAACCCGGCGAAGACGGAGGACCTGGGCTTAGGTCGGGTCGGTTCAGGGCTGGGGCTCCCTCTCCCGGCCTTCGACGGGGTGCCTTTGCTGCCGGCGCCGAGGGTTAGGAGTTCGGGGGTGCTCCTGGACTCCTCTTTAACGATGGAGGCTCAGGTAGCAGCCACTGTCATCAGCCTTTTACCATCTGCGGCTGGCATGGCAGTTGGCTCCCTACCTTGACTGCGATGACTTGGTCACAGTGATCCACGCGACAGTCACCTCGAGGTTAGACTACTGCAACGCTCTCTACATGGGGCTGCCTTTGTCGCAGATCCGGAAGCTGCAGCTGGTGCAGAATGCAGCAGCCAAGCTGTTGATGGGTCTCAAGGCGAGACCACGTCCAGCCTGTCCTGAAGGCGCTGCACTGGCTGCCAATAGCGTACTGGGTCCGCTTCAAAGTGCTGGTTCTTACTTATAAAGCCCTTTATGGCCAGGGTCCAGCTTACCTAAGGGACCGCCTTTCCCCATATGTTTCCCCAAGGGCACTATGGTCTGGGGCAAAACATCTTCTAGGCGTCCCAGCGCCTAGAAATGTTAAATATGCTGCGACTAGAGCCAGGGCTTTTTTGGTGGCGGCTCCTATCTGGTGAAACAAGCTCCCGGAGGAGATCAGGTCCCACAGGGACCTTATGCAGTTCCGCAGGGCCTGTAAGATGGAGCTCTTTCGCCAGGCTTTTGAGTAGGAGCCGCCACCGTCACTGTACCACCATCGCGTTGCCTTTTTTGGCGATGTGAACTGGCCTTGGGAATGGAGAACGGACAGAGTGCAGACTGATCAAGAAGAGACAGTAGTACCTTCTGAAACATTGCATCGGAGTCCCCGTCTTGGATGATATATTGTTGTGAGCACCGATTTTAAATGTAAAATGTAATTTGATTGTTTTACCTGGTTTTATTGTTATGTATGGCATTTGCCTCTTGTTAGCCGCCCTGAGTCTAATACATAAATAAACAAACCCATTATTGAGAGTCCTATCCTCTGCTGCCCACAGCGCCCTGCCCTCCTCTAAGTGACAGCCCTGCAAACAGCCCTTCAGCTTCCATGAGTCAGATCAGATCTCACTTCCTCAGATGCATAATATGAAATGAAAATTTCACATGAACAAGTGATCCTGCGTATGTGCTTTCCTCCTCTGTAGTATGACTTCCTTTGCGTATTCTGAAGTTACTGTAGACAAATACAGTTTTCCTGATATATCTGCTGTTTGCTTGTAGTACTCTGTTCTGGATCTGCATGCTTAATTGAGAATTGCATGTTGGCAAATGATGACTTCTGGAGTGGTGTAAGCAGCACAGCACCCACAAAAGGGATATTTTGCACCTCACCTTTTGCTACAATTCCCTCCCCCATGTATCATTGGCTGCGGTCACACGCAACATTAGCCACGCAAGAGATACGGAAGACAAGCGGAGTTTCCGGTCGCGATCTCACCAGCACATCTGGGAAGCGTAGCGCTTCCGTGGCACAACTGAGGCTTCCTGCCGAAAAAGCGCAGCAAAAAACTAGTACCTTGGAGGTACTAGTTTCCAGAAACTGCGGGGCAAGGGCGGGCGTCTGATCGCGTTTCCGGTGGTATCCGGCGCCCGCCCATGTCCCCTTGCGGAAAAGGGTTTTTTTCCCCCCACGTCTCCGTGGATGCGCACACGCACCCAACGGAGCATGCGCATTCGTAGTGTACACAAAAAAAGAAAACCAGTTCGCCGCGCCGCGCGCTTCTTCATTGCGCGCAGGCGTGTGTTGTGATCGGCACCTCTCCCTTGCCATGGAACCTCCACAGTACCTCCACAGAACCTCCACAGTAGGTCTGATCGCTTTACTGCATGTTAGTTTGCCCCGGGGCAAACAGCCACACTTCTCCTCTGCAGTTTCCTGCCCGTGTGGCAGGGGCCTTAAATGGGTAATACTCTGCCCCCCCCCCCACAGGTCTTCTGTTCTCATAAAGACCTATCAAACAATGGAGTGTATTCATTTCTTCCAATGGTGAGCTAGGTACTTAGACCAAAATCTTATGCATATATTGGAGAAAACTTTCTTTCACTTAAGTTGGACTTATTTCTGTATAGCATTGTGCCATCCCAGTTCTAGTCCTGAAGCTGAAGCTTAATTTTCCTTAGATCATAACGTCTTCAACAGATGCCTGACTGTTATTTTTTCCTTCATAAGTTTTATAAGTAAAGAGACTTTGCAATTATCTTACAGTATGCTCCATTACCGAACTGTTCTTGTACTATAACATGGTATTCACCATCTGTAATTTTAAGCCCTGTATGTTATATTCCACCCTTGAAAAATATCCTCGTCTTTCCGTTTCTCCTTTTAAAAATACTCTGTTAACTTGCCATCCCTTTCCTTAACATTTTCTCTGTGCTCTTGCAACACAAATGGAATATTTTCTGAACAAAGTTTGAGTTCAGTGGTACCTTTAAGACCAACAAAGTTGGTATAAGCTTTCGTGTGCAAGTACACTTCTTCAGATAAGCTTTTATGTGCAGGATCAGTTCTTCAGGTATCTGAAGAAGTGTGTGCTTGCACACAAAAGTTTATACTTTGAATAAAACTTTGTTGGTTTTAAAGGTGCCACTGGACTCAAACTTCTGCTGCTTCAGATCAACACGGCTACACGCCTGGATTATTTTCTGGCTACTGTTGACTAATTTGCCTATGAAGGAACTTATTTTATAAAATTAGGGAAAATTGGGTACAAAAGTAGCACAGATATGGTACATGATGTTTCTCTGTGTAAGGTAGAATTTTAATAATAACTTCACATCATTTTTGCAACAATCACAGCTATTCTAACAGAGGGTGGTCCTTCTAAGCTATTCATTTCTGAAATGCTAAATCTGAGAGGAGCATTTTAAAGGGTTCATCAGTACTGTGGTAATGAATTTGCGATAGTTATCTTCTACTGTCTTTGGAATGTGAATTGTCAGAGCTGTTAGTAAGTGACGTTTTTATATATAGTTTTTATGCTCTAGTTTGTTTATAGATTCTTATTGCCACTACAAGTGTGTTGACCAGGTTTACTATTTGCCAGCTGAAGCAAGACTGTGCTTTAAATAGAACTGGGAAACCACTTAGTTTTCATAAATATCAGGTGGGATCAAAGTCCCTCTTCCATGAACAAAATGGTACCACTGCATGTACAGAGAGGGAGGGAGGGATTTTTGTTGATTCCCTTTGCCACTTAGAGGTCTCCAGACCTCTAGAAGCCACTTCTTGAAGAGCACAGGAGGTGGCAGAGGACAGGCAGGCAAGGTCTGTTCTTTCAGCATAATTTTGATTATAGCTCATAATACCTTGAAACCTTCCATTGCTCCCTTAATGCAGGTTCTAAAAAGCTTTTATTTCCTTGTAATTTTGCTGAAACCCTAGAATCCTCTTTGTTATGCCAGGTTCCAGCTACTTAAATTTGTCAGTCCTTGACCTTTGTTCCACTGGGCTTTCTTTTTTTGGCCACTCTGTTGCCTTTTTAAGATTATGTTGTTTCTGCCTACATCTGAGAGCATCTTGATTTTCATGAGCTATTTTAAAGAAAGTCACTGAGTTTGAATGAGGAAATGTTCTCTGTACGAATAAGGAAATGTTCTCTGATTTCTTACCTCTGGCTTTCTTAACAAAGTTCGAGTCCAGTGGCACCTTTAAAGTTTTATTCAAGGTATATGCTTTCATGTGCATGCACACTTCTTTAGATACATTGAAATGGAAGTTGCCAGTCCATGCATATAGGTAGATGATGAGCAGCAAATAAGCATATAGCAAAATAAAGTTGTTTGACAGATGCAAGAACCAAACTGGAATAACAAGCTTAGTTTATATGGTCACCATTTTTGTAAGAGTCTTTCTTTCTCATGCCTTGTTTGCGATGCTATAGATTTTCTTAAACTGTATCATATCAAGGAGAAAGAAAGTAAATAAAGCAAAGTGTACCTAAAAATAAGGGGTTTTCTGAATTCTATTCCTTTATGTGTTGCTTAGTTAAACTGCTTGGATAGGAGGAGAGAAATTAGGCTTTAAAAGTAACTGCTTAAAAGGCTTTCCAACCCAAGTGGCTAGAAATACTTAATTACAGTATTTTCTTTTTTGTAGGATACGCACCAGCTAAAATTACTCAAGACACTGGAAGGCCATGCATATGGTGTTTCCTACATTGCTTGGAGTCCAGATGACAACTACCTGGTTGCCTGTGGCCCAGATGACTGCTCTGAGCTTTGGCTCTGGAATGTACAAGTAAGAAGTATTCGTGTGAAAGCTAATAGTGTCATATCCTGTTCTTAGTAGAGTCACAGGAAGTATAATTGGGGTTTGGGGGTATTTATGAAGTGGAATTTCATGCTATGTTGTATGTGTAGTATGGAGATACAAGCTTGCCAACAGCATGCAGCTTCTGATGCAAAAGGAATAATTGCTGTTCTTTTACTGCAGGTAGAACTGAAATATTGCCACTAGCTAAATTCAGTGCTATCAATCAATGTTGTTAGTCCCATACTTATTTTGCACAGGTTATCCACTGCTGCATTATACACAGGCTATAATCAGTTCCTTTGCTTGAGATTCCAGCCCTTTTGATTGAGCATATAAACTCTTGGAAGAACCATCTTAATTGTTATAAGTTTTTTTAAAACCCAGATCAAAATATAACATAGTGCACCTTAGTCTCTATCAACTAAAAAGGAAGGGGCAAATTCACATTGGGCTTTTTCATTCACAATCGGATATATTTACAGTTCATTAATTTCAATGGTCTTAGAATGGTGTAACTCTATTAATCTTCTTTCCTCTATGTGGCTGTTAAACTGTATTTGAGTTTTAACACCCTCCGTGTAAGTTGTGGATGTCAGAACAGGCATGCTTATATTCATGTATTCCAGCCCTCAGTGATCCCTTTATACATTATTACAGACAGGAGAGCTGAGGACAAAGATGAGCCAGTCTCATGAAGACAGTTTAACAAGTGTGGCCTGGAATCCAGATGGGAAACGTTTTGTCACAGGGGGGCAACGTGGACAGTTCTACCAGTGTGTAAGTGCTGCTTTTCTAACATAACTATTCTCAACTGTCCTTAAGGAAGAGGATTTTCCTTTGTAAGGATTTTCTCAATAAACATCTTCCTAGAGGTGACAAGTTACAGAATCCTACAGTTAGAATTCTTCTATATTAGTGTTTATTAAGGAGAATTAATTTTGAATACCTGAAAATCTCTATAAACGGCTTTTATGCAAACCACATTCCAATGATGCATGCTCCAGCCAGTAGGTGATAGTCGCTCCCCATTAGAGGGCATTAAGTTCTAATAAACCCTATTGGGTTTGTGCAGGTGGTTTTTCTCAGAAGTACTCTTTCCTCTCTGTGTATACATCCTTCGGCACTGGTAACTGATCATAGGTCAGAACACATTTTTTTCATGTTCTTGGTGACTAGTTTTTCTGATTCCTTAACTGTCTGCATTTTCCTGTGTAGGACTTAGACGGTAATCTCCTGGACTCCTGGGAAGGAGTGAGAGTGCAATGCCTGTGGTGCTTGAGTGATGGGAAGACTGTGTTGGCATCAGATACACACCAGCGAATCCGGGGTTATAACTTTGAGGACCTTACAGACAGGAACATGTAATTACTTCTTCTTAAAGCTATATATCTGATGATGTATTAGATAAATGAATTTCGTCATATGGCTTTGCAAAACATTCATTCTTTGTTAATGACTTAATTCCATTCTTGTAGTTCATATGCCAGTTCTGAATAGACTTTTCTAAAAACAGTTTTAAAAGGACATACCTGAGAGCCAGTGTGGTGTAGTGGCTAAGAGCAGCGGACTCTAATCTGGAGAATCAGGTTTAATTTGCACTCCTCCACATGAAGCTTGCTGGATGACCTTGGGCCAGTCACAGTTCTCTCAGAACTCTCGTAGCCCCACCTACCTCACAAAGTGACTGTTGTGGGGAGAGGAAGTGAAAGGCGATTGTAGGCTGCTTTGAGACTCTTTAAGGTAGAGAATAGCAAGGTATAAAAACTGACTCTTCTTCAGCTGGTGGTGCAGACATAGTTAGAACTTTGTATCTGTAAGGTGGTAATAATGGTGTGGTGAAAACATGAATGGTGATACTGCAGACAAAGAATTGCATAGCAATATTAACTTGAATCCAAAGCAATAGCTCTAACTCTGAGCTGTACGTTTTATTTTCAGAGTCCAAGAAGATCATCCAATTATGTCATTCACTATTTCAAAAAATGGCCGGTTAGCGTTGTTAAATGTAGCAACTCAGGTAAGTGGACAGATTTTTAAAAGAGGGGAAAGGTATTGCTAGTTTGAGGGAGAAGGACATGTGGCAGTCTTGTTATGGTTTCTCGCACACAAACAAGTGATCTTGCTTCCTGTCTTGCCAGAGCAAGACTGAGAAGAGTTCAGCCATCCCTGTTCCATTCTCTTGGGCCCAGACACCCAGTGGGGGTGATTGATTGCTGCAGATAGGGCAAATGATAAAGTCAGCCTCTCTCAGCCTGTTTGTAGCATATGGGGCTAATGAGGCTAAAGCAACACGGTGCTTTAAAGCTATATGTGATGGAGTGGCTTGTGCAATACCCAGTTGTTTGAGCCATCAGGACAGCTAAAATTGAGTGACTACTTTTTCTTTTGAATTTATTTGTGTTCACTTTTATCATTTTCCTTTTGGTATTCCACTGTGTGGTGAAATTTAATTATGGGAAGGCTACTGTGAATGTTGTTAATCTCTACCATACTCTTTGTTCTCAGGGAGTTCATTTATGGGATTTGCAAGACAGAGTTTTAGTGAGAAAGTACCAAGGTGTTACACAAGGGTTTTACACGATTCACTCATGTTTTGGAGGCCATAATGAAGACTTCATCGCTAGTGGCAGTGAAGGTAACATTTTAAAAAAAATTGACTCTGTGTGTATTTCTACACATTTCATGCATATACTTCCTACATTAGTAAATGTTGTAGTCCTGTCATTCCCACATTTTAATTATAGAAAGGACTGTTCCCTATAACAATACTATAAAAATAATGAATTGCTCACAGAGGGGAAAAAACTTGATCACAGTTTGGGGTGGGCAGTAGCATGTGTGATTCTGTTCCTAGCGATAGCTTAGTTCTGATAGGACGAGTGGTGGTATACAGGGATATTTTTGGTCAGGTGACTCTGGTGAGTAACAATCTTTATTTGAAATAGATTTGTTTTTTCAAAGGTAGGTGTGGTCGTGTCATTCCAGATGAGTTCTGTCATCTCAAGCATAGTTAATTATGGTGAGAGAAACAAGTCTCATATCCTGTAATAGATCCAGCATTTTGATTTCCATGTTGAATACTTCGGGCTCACAGTGAGTGACCTGAAATAAACACAGCCTTCTTCTAGCATTGCCTCAGTTGCATTGAGTGGCTTTTTCTAGGCAGGAAGGATGCTGACTTGCTCTGTATTGATAATAATACAGTGATTAATACAGAGTGAGCAAACTTCAGGAAAAGCGGGTTTTGGTCTGAGCAGGACAGTAATCTTATTGGTGGACTCTCCAAATAACTATCTAGAAGCAAAGTTTCTTCTTTGCCCATAATTGGTGATTAGTTTTCCCTTAAGAACTGCACTTTTTAAAGCTATCTTGTATCTTCAACACAATGCCAATTATAAATAGCTATGTCAGTTCTCATGCATGCCTTAACCTTTACCCTTCCAAACAATTTCCACCCCAGGGATGTCTGTCCAACTCTATTGGCTCTTGGTGTGTCAGTTTATTTGTACACCACAGGTCAGCGTGGACAGGTCACTTAGTTACAGCCTACTGTTTGTTTGACATGAATGTAAAGATTAATTTATCCAGGTCAACTTAGAACAGCTTTTTATTTTTTTCATTTTCAGTGTCTAAAAACTACCCAGCTGTAGTTGAAGCTGATGGCACCTTATTTAGATTCGGACTGCCTGAGGCTCTTGCCTCTTTGCACTGAATTGTTGCAAATGTGGCTGCTGTGAAAGTCTCTATGTACAAAAAGTAACAGATTTAAATGTCATAACCTCTTAAATGTAAAGGTATGTTGTCAGCTAGGTAGGCATTTCACCTACCAGCCCCAAACATTAAAGGGTCGTCCACCCTTGGGATAAAGTTGACTTCTGACTCTGTGTATGTGAACATAAAAGTAGCACAAAAAGCGGCCTCATCTTTGAGAGTAAGTGCTGAATGTTGCGGCCTTAAGGTAAATATTGGAATGACTTGAAGCGGCACAGAGTGAATATTAGCTTTTGCTGGGAAATTAAAAAGGTAAATATAAGCAGGGGTGTTCACTGGAAGTTCAGTGTTGTGGCAACTTTTCAAAAATTAACTGTGAGCTGATCCTCAATTCCTCAATCAAATGCTTCTAGGAAGTAGGTCATAGCATGGTTTGTAAGGGCTGGGAAATTAGGTTTTGAATACTTTGGGAGCTAGTTTTAATATTCCGGATCCTAAGTAATTGTCAAAAGTTTTTGTTGAGAGAGAGTGCTGACTAAAAGGACATCTTGATGTTCTTCAGGAAGCTGTCATTGTCTGAGCAAGAATAAGTATTTTTAAAAATGACTGTAGGGGGTTCAGTATTTAGCAAAAATCTCACTTTTTGCTACTCACTGTGACGTGGTTTTTCAGTAACACAGTCAGTTGCACATCTGACATGCAATCAGTCCTGTGTGATCTGCAGTTCAGATGGGTGCTGTGAGTGCTGATGCTTGCACAGTGAGTGACAGGAACAATGATGGCACAGAGTCGCCCATATTGTTGTAATTAATATTCAGATGGATACTCTTTTTGGCACAGTTACCCTGTAACAGCACCAACACAGCTGTACTTGTACACTTAAAATAAAACACAGTATGAATCAGTCTCACTTCAAGCCTTTGAAATGATTGTTTGTTGTCCCCATTATGAATGGATAGAAATTGCTTTGATAGGATGATATACTTAATAAAGGCAACTATGGACCAATTTGGATGTTACATTCCCTCTTTACTTTGTTCTGCATATGGTGAGATCCTGTCTATACGCTGACTTGTCTATTTCCTCCCCTTTCCTCCCTCTTATCCGTATTGTGCATGGAAAGGGTGAGCCCGTGGATGTTTTGAACACATGATTTCCTATAGCCCTGGATAGTAAAACCACTAGCACAAAAGGTTTTAATATCCAGGCTTGGAAGGGATCCCCTGTTCAAGTAACTTTAGGAAATTCTATTTTGAGAGGTCCCCATACCATGTATAGAGAAGGCCAGGAGGAGAGTAGAGAAGTGCATTAGCCCAGGGCTTAATCACAGTTTCAAAATATTTAACTAGAGATCTTGTTGGAGAAAGTAACATCCAAACAATTCTTATTTGGAACATATAAACCCTGTTTAAATATGTTCCAGGTACCTACACATATCTTCATCTTGCAGAGGTCAGTACTTGCTGTCAGTTTTATATGTGGCATTCCTAAGGGGTAGAAAGAAACTTCTTGGAGCTGTTGGATGTACCATTCAGCAAACCTTTCTGAAGCAGTTTTCTGGTGTGAATGGAGTTTTAATGCAAAAAAGCAGTGAATGCCTGGATCAATGCCATATTGCATTGTCTATAGATAAATCTAAATTTTAGAATGGCTCTCATGTTTCTTCAAATCTGTCTGTCTTAGATCACAAAGTATATATTTGGCACAAACGTAGTGAACTGCCAATTGCGGAGCTGACAGGGCACACGCGAACAGTCAACTGCGTGAGCTGGAACCCGCAGATTCCATCCATGATGGCCAGCGCTTCTGATGATGGCACTGTTAGAATATGGGGACCAGCACCTTTTGTAGACAACCAGGATATTGAAGGTAAACAATCTAATTTATGTGTGAGAGGAAACTTGTAAAATTTGAGGTAACAACATTTCATTGGGTTTTGATACCTCAGTTATCATGAACATACATCAGTCAGGCTATGAAAATTGATATGGGACAGAAATTAAGGTTGTTTTTTTGTAGAGCACCTTTATTTTGAGAAATTGCAAGTTCCTTTACAATTTCCAAGTTCAGATCAGCAGGACAGTACTTCCACTGCACAACCATCTGAGTAATGGCTGTACTCCAATTTTAGGTAAAATAAAATATTCATTACCAAGTTACATGAACAGCAGATGATTGTGTATTCAGAATAGTGGATGTTCAGTCCTGTCCCTGTATGTTTGCAGGAAAAAAGTATTTGACTGTAGGCTGCTAGTATATAGTAGGCTGGCTGGGAGAGTAGCTTAATGAGTTAAGGAAAAGCTAATACATCCTTTATGTGAGAGGGAATGATGCCTCCTTGTAGCTCAAGCTGATGTGCTTTTGCCAGACCAAAACCCTTTAGAAATCATGCACTATGCCCATCAGTTTGTTGAGGGGGAATACAGAAAGAACAAAGAGTAAAACTTAATCTTAGAAGAGTGATGAAATCTGCAGCTGATGAACAGTTGTTCTGGATAAGAAGTTGGCATCCATTATTGTTTCCTAATTGAAAATATTGGTTATGTGCTGAAGCAATTCAAGGTAAAATATAATCCTTATAATATAATTAGAATGTGTATGTGTTCTCAAAAATGTCTTGAAATCATAAGAAATCAGAATTTTGGTTCTGGAATGAACTTTTGAAACTTATGCTGGTATAGTGGCTCTCCTATCTTGAAATGAAAGGATATCTTGCTTATTTTGTTAATTGCAGATGTATCCATTACATGGGAAGAAGTGAGCTTTAATAGCTAGAGCAAACCAGAGTTTTAATTCTGAATTACCTCTTAGATTTCAGCTGGAACCTTACTGCCTCTGGCACTTCTAAAATCAATCCTAGTTGGCAGTTCTGAAACAGAAGAGTCCTGTCTAGGTACTAGTCCAAACTTTAGAGAACTTATACTCTTTTCTCACCGGCCGATTTTCTTGAAAAAGCTCTTTAAAAATAATTTTAAAAGGCATAAAAAGATCACCATCACAATTAGAAGTTGGCTTACAACAACCAGTTTGCCCAGGGAAGTTTTTCATTAATTATATCCTCACAGTTTGTGAAATACAAAACTCTATTGCCTGCTCACAATCCCCACATTGTATAACTTAAAGAGCTGCAAAACCAATATGTAAAGCAAGCAATTTCTGCTGGACATGCCAATTTAGTAATATGTTGACTGTTAGGTTACTATGAATGGGTTTCTTAATTTGTTTTTATAAATACAAATTTTTGTATTGTGGCTGAGGTTAAAAATTATTAAATCCTTAATTTTTTTCTCTTTACATTCCATCTCTCTCTCCCCCCCCACCTTAGAGGAATGCAGTAGCATGGATAGTTGATGGTGAACTTGGAGCAGACGACTTCTGTTTAACTTAAATTTAGTCGTATTTTAAATGGCTTGGGATTTGGTGCAAACAAACATGATTGATAGCTGGACAGACATGCTCGTCATGAAAAAAAAAAGAACCATTTCTGAAGCCCGACTGGGGCCAAACATTTTACCACCTTGCTTCATAGTAAACAGTTGAGATGAAGCACGTCGTTAGAACGTTGTTGGACACCATGTTGAAGTAACCCCCCATCGGTTGTGAAGAACTGTGCTACATTCAGGCTAACCATTGAAGTCCGTATATACATTTTTCCCTTCTGCCATTTTGTCAGGCAGATTACTGTTCTTGTTGCTCTTCTGTGTAATGAAGTTTAAATGCTTGTTTGGAAAACCTTTTTATTTAACAGTTTAGAAGGCTTGATAGAAAGAGTGCTTTAGTCTGAAGAGTACATGTTGGATAGGAAAGTATTTCCTTCTCTTGTTTCTCTCTCCGCCTTATTTAGCTTGAGATCTTTGCAGCTTGGTTCATGGATTCTAGCCTTGCCCGTTGCGCAGTATATCTACACCCAGATGTTAAACCAGTGAATGACATGAAAAGCACTCTCAGTATCACACTTGACAAAAGGTTTTGTACTTTTCACATAGCTTGTTGCCCCATAAATGGGTTAACAGCACAATTTTTTTTAACAAAGTAAATTATTTATAGCATTAAAATGACTTCATTTGTATACATTTGGAACTTAAACCAGCTTAAAAAGTGTCATCTACAAGTAAATGCAGTATAACTGGTGCTCCCCTGGAGTGTTGTGTAAGACCATTCGGCTGGCAGGAGTTTTTCAGATTATATGAAGTATTATTTTAAAAAAGAAACCTTGTTTACCACCATAAAAATTGAGAGCGTTCATAATCACCAACTAAAGAAGTACAATGTATTTTCTGAAGTTAATAAATGAAAATTCCAAATTGGCCTTAACTTGTGCAATGATTCTTATTTAAAGTTCTAGAGTTAGGGCAGTACATGTAACATTATCTTTAAAAATTAGTGAGATGAGCATCTCTTTTTAAAAACTAAAATGCATACATTGTACAAGCTTTCCATATTGCCCACTGGCCAAGGCCTTTTTCTGAGATAGTGCCATCCATCACCTGGCACTAAGAATGGCTCCTTGACTTTCTATGTGCAAAATAGTAATACTAAAAGAAAAGAAACCTAGTTTTTGCCGTCTGCTCTGTTGACTTCAGAATATGTTTGACTTCCCCCTCACTTGAAGGATGAAAATGGCACTTAAGGCCACCCTCAAGCTTAAAACTAACACACAAAAAAGCAGCTCATAATGAAAAGAAGTATCAACATTCTTCTGAGATCAGATAAAAGAAAACAAAGATGGCAAGAGGTATATGGGTTTGGGAGAAGGAAGATCCAGGGTTGGAAGGAAATTTGTATTTGTGCATGTTTATTTTAAATGCACAGATTCTGTGATGAGGAATAAAGAGTGGCCACTGCACTAATGGATATCCCTTAACTCAGATTTGCTTTAGTTTTCCTTCAGAGCCTTTTGATTTGATGATAAATTTCTGATTGAATCTTTAAACCAAAAAAAGTGGTACTCTAGTAACTTAGTACAGGCAATTCAGTTGTTTTATATCCAAGACTCTTTGAACAAACACTATTTTAATAACCCAGTTCCTAAAAGTGCATGTGAAGACTAGGTTTACAGAGAAATCTTTAAACAAAAGAATGCCTTCCTCTTGTGTCCTAGAATGGATTTAGGAGCAGCAAAGAATTGTATGTCTATTTGTGAGCTCCTTTAAGCAGTTTCACCTTACTTTATAAACAATTTATTTGTCCATTCTCATGTAAACTCTTAATTTGACATTAAGATTTTTTATTATTGCCTTTTATAGTCTACTTTTCAGCCTGTATGAAAATATTTGCAGATATTCCCGTTCTATATGATGAGACTTTATGCCTGTGTTTCTGACATAGTGCTAGAACTGCTTGCTAACACACAACTATCTTTAGGAGTTTAGAGAGCAAATCAGGGATAAAATCTAGTAATGTACCAATTATCTATTGAATTTGCATTCACTAATTTCTGTAGGCATTTTAATCTGAGGCTTGTAGTTACAGTTGTCTGTGTAGGCCCTCTACACACTTTTGAGCCTCTTGCTTTCTTTTCTTCAAAATGCTTAACACCAGATGAAACTAATTTGAGAACACCAGAATGGACTCATGCTTTCCTCCTATATTCAGGAACTCGTGAATTAAAAAGGAATCAAAAGCACTTCATAATACGGATTTAAATGAGAAGCATGGGATTCAAGAGATCCACTTGTAAAATTAGTTATGTAATATGGGCTATGCAACTTTAAATGGAAGAGATTTGGATGGGTTAGGATACTTGAGCTACCAGATGGACAATTATCACTGGTGTAAGACAGCACACTAAATCAAATGAAACCAAGTGAATACTTTCTTGCTGTAATAACTGCTAATCTTTTTGAGACAGAGATGAGCAGCCTAAATTCTTCTGGATGCATTTCTGTTGTGTGGATTGATGAAAAGCACCACTACCATATTTCAAATAAACCAAAGCTAGACAGTAGTGGAAGTTGTAGATGAAAAGATGAGGAATAGGTATATCTGCAACATTCACTTTCATATATTATTAAAAAGACTGCTGTATGCTGTAAAGGCTGGAGCAATTACTAATACCCTGGGCAGAGAAGGTGTTATATGTGAAGGAGATAAACATAGTTCACATTTTGCCTTAGGTTTTTGCACCCATCTACTCCAAAGTATGCACACAGGCTATAAATCACTACAATACCTTTATTACAGTACTTCAGGGCTGATCAGGTAAGTTTTTTTTAAAAAGAAGGAGCACAAAAGAAATGGGATTTAGTTTTTATTCTGCCCTTAAAAATAAGTCTTGTAAATGTGTGACTTAGTTCCTTCGCCATTCTTTAATTTATTAAGGTTCCTCATTAAAGTTTAGTTTGAAACAGAACACAAAACATAAATTTTAATGTGAAGTCACATAATACTACCCAAGTTTTGCCAATAAACATGTTCTGGCTTGCAAGCAGGTATTGTTGAATGTAATTAATCTAATACTAGATGTTGAGTGCCATCTTAAATAAAATCTCCCACCCCAAACAATAAAGAAGGCTTTAAGTTGAAATGTTTTCTCATAAACCAGCTATATGCTGGCAATACATATGTATATGGGGAAGGGGAGTTGTAAAGATTTTTTTTTTTTTAGTTAACAGCAGAAGAATGTCTAGTTTGTAATTTGGGGTAGAAAGGGAAAGTGAAACCGTTTTTAATAAGACTTGATGCCCTTTGTCAATACCCCAAAGCACACAAGTTGCCTCAATTTGATACATTTCAAGCAAACAGTTTAAACAAGTAAAAAACCTGTATATGATCAAATTGTATATTACATTGGCTCGAGTCCATTTTCAGCTGCCATAGAACAAATTGCTCATTTGACAATTAGTAGAATTTTGGAAACACTTTGACACTTTTTGAACAGGGTGGACTTAATTTGTGCAGTGTTGTCTGCAGTAGCTGCTCTAGTTGCTGGAACACAAAGTAGAAACCCATTTCCTGTTTGCTAATCCAGATTATCTGGATTCAGCAAAGTGTGTGTGTATGTGTGTGTGTGTGGTATGAACGTGTGTGCGTGAAACACAAAGTCATGGAACCAATTGTTCTAGGTACATGTCATGTTTTACTGCATACTTTAAGTCATGTGTGTATGTGAAGTGTCCTGACTTTAAGATTTTGGTTAATACCAATATATTTTTATAAATTTGAAATTTAGTGTGCCCCATCTTTTAAGTGTTTCATTGTTAGGATAAATGTACTAGATTTAATTCTTAACACTTCTTGGCACAGATGGAAAAAGTTTATCGGCTCCTTGAAAATGTATGAGGAAGAAACAGATCCTCAAAGCATGTGTGTACTTACAAACCAAGCTGTAGAGATCAAGAAAAGAACTTTTGTTGTTCTCAAATTTCTAAATTGTCAAGATTTATATGGAGTTGTGGTGGAACTAGTTAACACTTAGAGCTTTTGGTATGTAATGACTATTTGCTATGGACTGATATTAAATGTTTCAAAGGATTGCGTTCTTAAACTTTCTGGATTTTTGTTACTCTCCTCTTGGATTATATTAAGTAGTTTAAAAATTTCTTTACTATATAACATTAAAACATAAGAAATTTGGGTCTCCATATTTATTTTCACTTGTTTTACTAATTATTTACAAAACACCTTTAACTTTTTCATTTTATAAATATGTAGTATATATTAAACATATCTTTAAAATGTTCCGTTCAAACAAAATTAATTCATGATTTTTGTTTTTATTGGGGTTTTTTAAAAAAATTACACTTTTCCATGTTGGTGCATAGCACTTAACAAATATTTGTATTCCCTTTCTTTCCAATTCAATAAACAGAATGAATAACTGGACTTGAATAGTTCTTAGCCTTTTGAGCTTCAGTACTATAGCTGCCTTCTATTTAATATGGGTAGAAAGGAGCAGATATTCCAATTTGAGGCCTTAAGACAATGATTTATATCCTTTATCAGAGAAATCAGCTTAAGGTAAGAGTAGCAAGAATCTATTCTGTATCACTCCTGGACAAATGTACATGTGATCCCATTTATGATTATCTCCCCCAACACACCTGCTTCCTGTGCTACTTACTGGTGACCAAAACCAGAGCTACATAGCTTGTATTCACAAGCTGTGTGCTTAACAATCCTAGACAGGTATTGGTCAGAATATTTTTTCCAGACCCATTACTTGGGTGCTGTTAAGCTCCAGGCTGCTTGACAAGCTGCAAGTTGTGCAGCTCTCATTTTAGAATCAAAGCGACCTCAGAGGGGAATTCAGTGTTATAGTTACATAGTGTTCTATTACAGTATACTGAATTTAAATTGGCCAGTGGAACTGCCACCAGAAAAATAGTCTCCTTTCCCCACCTCACATGTATATGCATGCTGAGTCAACTAAGGGTCATGGATGTCATTTATTGCTTGTCCCTTTAAAGTCGTAGGCTTTCATGCCATACATTGGGAGGTACAACTAATAAGAAGAGTGTTCATACTCTCTCACAT